GATACATATATATATATATATATATATATATATATATATGTTAGGGGTGTAACGGTTCAGATTGCTCACAGTTCGGTTCATGGTTTTAGGGTCATGGTTTGGTTTGGTTCGGTATGTGCTATGTTCAGGGAAAAAAGGACTACGGTCAAATAAAAATAATGAAAATAACAAATAATCAAACTAAATGCAACAGCACAAATAAATACAATATAGAAAAAATACAAATAAAATAAAGTGTTTTTCAGGTGTTTATATTATATAATATATGTATTGAATTTCTGGGTTATTAGAATTATTATTGTCTTGGTAATGAGAAAAAAGTATAGTGTACCAGAAAGTACTGTAAGCTTTAGACTATAATATACTTTCTGCTCATTACCAAGACTCCTACCCATCTGTCCTCTTCAATAGCCTCCACAGTCTCTATAATCTTCTCTCTCTCTCCCTAAATGGGAAGATTTATCCTCTTAATCACTTTCAGAAAGCAAAAAGGCTTCACACGGTAGTGCCCTCCTATGTCAGAGACTCCTCTAATTGGCCCACATTCGAGGAGGTCAGTGGGACTGTTACCACAGAAACAAGCAGTGATACTGTGTTACCACAGAAACAAGCAGCACACGCTCTGAGCCATGACCTTGAAACACAACACAGAAAGAGATCATGGAATAATGAGGAGAAAAGCACAAGCACTGTGTGAAGATAACAGCACCTAATGATACTGTTCAGCCACTGGTGATGAATGTTAAACATGACCCTCTTGGCCCCTACATTGAAATGATGGCGAAAGGTTCAAGGTGCAGTTCAAGACTTGTCTGGTCTAATTCACCGCAGGTCATTAGATCCACATTTATGTTTAGGTTGTGCTTTAATAAGATGTGCACCTTCTAGCTGAAGGTCAACTTTAAACACAGACATGCCAAATGGCAGCAAGATCACAGGGGAGAATGAATGAAGAATGTTTCTCTCGAGCTCAGAGGTAATCAGCAACCAAATCTAGTAGATGAAGGACCCATGAGGGTGAGTGCGTGTGTGTGTGTGTGTTGAACTTGCAGACAGAGGTCCCTACAGGTATGCTTATGTCTCTCCTGCCAAGAGAAACCAACGGACCATGGGATGATTGCATTTACCCATCAGCCGCTAAAGATGAGCAGACTCAGACAGTAAAGCCAGTGTGTCTCCAATGAGTCTCAAAGAAAAAAAGATACAGTGGGGAAACTATTCATTCCATTTAATTTAAACTGTGTCACATAAAAACTATTCTGATAATTGAATAAAAAAATACTTATTATCTAATTATCTAATCATCTTATTAACTGGAATAAGTTGATCCAACTAAAAAGAGAGAGCAAATCATTATTACTAATTAAGTAATTTTTAGCAAACTCAAGTATTTATTTTAGTAATAATAACACAGACAGTTTGTTATTTGTGGATCGGTGGATTTTGAGTAATATTAACATTTAATTTGTACAAATTACATATAATTGTGATTTCAGCAGTAAAGTAAGTGTTGGCTCATTTCAGACTGAAAAGAAATAATTTTCCAAACTTTGATTGGTCAACTTAAAACCATGCTCAAATTTTCATACATTATTCAAGTGTTTATTAATTAAATCACACAGGTTTTTGTAATTAATTCTAACCTTTAAAATTTGTAATCATAATATATTTTAAATCTCCAAACTAAATCTCCAAATTAATGTGGAAAAAACAAAGACAGTATTTAAAGTACTATGAATGAAGACTGATGCCAATACTGATACTGATGCCTCTATTAAATGGATTTTTGTTTTCAATTTCTAAACTTAGTAATTATAGCCATGATTAAAAGTCATGCATAAATTATAAGATATTTTATTTATAATTTGTTAACAATTGCAGAACATTAAAATATTACAACTTTAAGTGAACCTAAACAATAGTCACATAAACCCATTATAAAAAATGTGATATATTTCTATCACAGCTGCTTCTGAATAAAAACTGTCAGTTCATTTTTCCCCACTTTTTTTAAAGTTTATTTTGCTCATTAAATTTCACTATAAATATAAAATTATCGTACATATTAGCATACTACATGTGGCTCTTGCACGTCACGGATATAAAGGGCATTTACATGCATAATTTAATGCAATAAATAAATAAATAAATAATTGCACACAACTAATCTTTCCCCAACACATAAATTACCCCGACGGACACTTCACACAAGGCCACTGGAGGGTAGTTGTCATATCAGTAAATGTGTCTGACATCATACCGTACGTCATAAACCCTGACCCTGCCTGAATATATAGTCAACAGCACTTAGAGGTGTCTGACTGATTGCGAAACGCAAGGATGCTCACATTCCTCAACCGCACTGAGTGACACATGTAAACGCACAAACTCTTTTCCTGAGGATGTAATCTCCCGTGAGAAAGCTTGAGGTTGAAGTTCTCTTGCAGGTCTCTCTTTCTCTCTCTGTCCACAGAGACACACACTACTCACATTTCAGCTCCAAGACGACAAACACACAACCACACTGCGATAATGATCAGAAAAAAACATTTGGAAACTATTATAGCGTGTGTGTGTGTGTGTGTGTGTGTGTGTGTGTGTGTGTGTGTGTGTGTGTGTGTGTGTGTGTGTGTGTGTGTGTGTGTGTGTGAGAGACAGAGAGAGAGAGAGAGAGAGAGAGAGATTCCTCTCTTCAGACATTGGCACATGTATGTATTCAGGTAAACAAAGTGTTATGTAAAGACAGATTCTAAATCTGACTCACTTCCTTGCATGCAACACAAAAGGTACACCTTTGAAGAAAATCCTGCTTACTTATTTCCATATAGAGAAAAAAAAGTTCTTTTAAATTATTGTAATATTTCACAGTATTACTAATTTACTTTTTGATCAAATAAATGCAGCCTTAGTGAGCAGCATTCAGGGCTCGGACGACCTATGAATTTCTGTTTTTTTTTTCCCTTTCTGCAGGCTCTATCGGGCTCACATAACCCTTGACGTCAACTTGTTGCACAAGCAAACTGCACTTTGATGTGCTCTAATAGGAACAGCCATTTTGGTAGAACACGTAGATCAAGAATGAAAGGTTTTTAAATCACAGATAAAGAGGTTAACAGTCCCATGTGTGACTTCAGTACTCCATCCTCCTCCACTACCTCCTCTTCCTCCCAGCGGAACGGAGTTTGTTGCCTGTCTAACCAACGGCATCACGCCTCCGTCCCTCACCAATGTCTGAGATCACTCAAACTCACTTTTTCCTTCACAGAGTGAACAGAGGAATAGCAAGCACCAGCCAACCAAAGTATGGAAGACGGCCAAAAGATTACAGCTCTTATTGGGCAGCCATGTAGTTTCTTTATTTAACTGCTTAGGGGAAAGGGCTCACAAGACGAAGTACTTCAGAGAAGAAAATACGGATGATTTGGAGAATAATAGAGGGAAGCTGAGCATTTGTTGTGTGATTTTCCAACAAAAATAGAAATTAAATCAGAGGCCATAAACAAAAGTGTCTTCCCATACTGAGGAGAAGGATGTTTTGAAACCATGCGACATACCATTAAAAATCCCATGAGACAAAATGAACCTGTATGCTTTCAATACATCCATTATCAATAATGTATATTTAAATAAAGGTATTTATTTTTAAAATGGGCCTTCTGGGGGACAGTTTTATTCTGAATTGATGAGGTAGGATTATTCTTTCAAATTATTTAGAAAAACACTAATTTTTTTTTTGAGGACTATAAAACAATATATTTATTAAAGAAAAAAACTGTGAGTGAAATATGTCATCCATATTTTATTACATTTTCTCGGACCAATGGTCTGTCCTTATCTGGAAGGACAAATGAGGCTGTCTGATGCTGCATAGGGGCAAAGGACAAAGAACGGAAAAAACTTTGGCACTGATCCATCTTCTCCATCTCAAGGCTATTTTTTTTTATATTACAGTGTTTCCCAACTTTTTGTGTATGTTGCACCCCAACAGCCCTAAAAAGCTGGCTCTAGTCCTTATTTTTTATTCTCAGACCTTATAATTTGTTATAATGCTGAATTGTCTCTGTGAATCAGTTCACTTTTAATAATTGCTGTTATAGTGTTCATCGTCTGTTTGATTACGTTTTTAATTGATTTTTCCGTACATTTCTGCCATATGTACATAAACTGACAGTCACCACTGATAAGCTACTACTAAATATTGTAGAAACTTAATTTTCTGTAAAGTT